AGCTCCCGCCATGATGCTTCGCAGAAGAACATTGAAAGCTTTTTCAAGCGAAGAAAAGTCGATTGAATGTTCTCTGCCTTCTGGTTGAACGGTTCATCACGTTTCGAAATGGTAGGCTTATAACTCCTCTTCTGCCTTCCCTTTGCTATGATGAAAAAACAATTATTCACAGACCTGTTCTGAATTACTCTTGTTGACTCATATTGATCCAACTGCTGTCTGACCATGCAAACAATCTATCCTCCATGTCATTGTATCTTTTTCAAGGATTCTGCTAACGTGGTCACTCAGATACCCTCAGATGCTTGCATATTCATCACAACGCGCGACATTTCCCCACGAAATCATTGCTTATGTAGCTCGTTTCCTGGCTTCTAGACTCGGGCATACGTGGATTCGTCGTCGATGGCTCCTGGTCGCTGATCTCTTCGTCTTTTGTGTGCTCGAACAATCTACATTGTCCAGCCATGAAGACATTCGGCTTTGATCATAGTGCTTGCCGACTCGCCCACATTCTGCTTATGCAACAACCACCTCGACTGAGTGATACATTTTCAGGTCCGGCGCTTCGTAAGCTGCTTGTGGTACCACAAGACAAAGTAATTCAAGGCTTTAGTTCTTGGCTCCCTCAATGTCTTGCCGATGCTCTATCAGTGTTTCACGAGTGTAGGTTTGTTACGGTCGTAAATCTTGCGCACATAAGCTGCGCCTGTAAGTCAAATTTTCCGCCGCAGTGTAAGCACGAAGTTCGGAGTACCCTTTCTAAATGCTACCTTGATTGCGTAGCTGTGAAGATCTCGTCAAAGTATATCTTAAACTAGTAAAGAGTTTTCTGCTATCGTCCCCCAATGCATACCTTCAGCGATGCTCGGACATCTTCAGTTGGTGATGGTCAGGATCCGTCTGGTGTAATGCTGAACGAGCTGGCTGGACAGCCCCACGATGACACGATAACGTGAAGTAGCGTGAATTTGTGTTGTCTTGAGGGGTGTAAGGAGTGGTGGGGGTGGGGATGGTATGGTGGGATGAGAGATGAGGGCGAGTAAAATCGATTTGGTCGTCCTCTTCCTTGTACGCAATACGTGTTTTTTTTTAGTAGTTGGGATACTGAACAGCATCCTGAAAGAATTCGTAACACTTTATGAATTGAATTGTCTCCAAGCAACTCCGCTAGCAAGTCCAATAATGTATTAACGACCTGTTCAAACAAAAACTAGAAACCTATGTAATCCCAGCATTTAAGCAAAAGTACAGAATAGAAGTATACATGAAATCAAAACCCCTACAAGTCTATAGGGTAACCAATCCAGTGACCTGGCAGATCACCGTGCAAACGCACAGTTGACGAGAACGAGTTCTCAACGCATCTCCATTTTAATCCATTGGGGCGTTGGGATCCCACTGACAACATTCACACACCTGATCGCGTGGTATCACTACCCGATGCCCGTTGTGTCCCAAATATGGCGTGCTTGAACTTTGTGCCTCTTGGTTTCCATACGAGCAGGAGCCGAACATGCAAGGATCGCATAAATGACCTTGACCTGGTCCCGTCTCCTCCGGGCCCGGGCTTGAGCCAACAGACACAGGGGCTGAACTATGCTCCATGTCCGCCGCGTAGTGTTGCTCTTGGAGATATTGTGACTCTGCTGCGTGTGGGTTTACCTGTGCATCTCCCTGTGGCTCGTACTCATCGTCACTGTCATCGTCGTCCTCTTGCGCTTGTGCTTGATAATGCTCCTCCTCTTCATCATCCTCTTGCCATTGCCCTTGCCCTTGCCCTTGCTGTGCTGTCTGGTTATCATCGTATGCGTTTTCATCCCAGTCCGATGCCTCTCCATCTCCTTCGCCCTCATATGCGCTACCATCTTCGTCACTGTCTTCTTGTTCTTCTCCTTCTCCCTCCTCGTCGTACTGGCGTCCCTCATATTTTTCTTCGTCTTCATCTTCGTCTTCGTCTCTCGTTGGCCTTGGAGGCATTGCGAGAAAAGAGTTTGATGATAGAGTTGAAAGTAGGTGAAGGGCAGAAGCGTAGTTTAACAGACAAGTCTTCTGAATATGACGACTGAAGAGAAAACGCTGCTGAAGTTGAATTTGAAGCTGTAGTTTGGTCTTGCTGAGAATGTACAGGGATCGATGCGGAAGTTGTTGCGGAGTGGTCTAGGTACTGCTGATGAAGGCTTTGTGTAGTGAACTGTGGAGTATGCATACAAAAGGCAAGCCGTGTAGGTTTTATACTCGAGTACCGGCGTTTGAGTTTGGTGGGAGGATTGAATGTTAGAAGGCTGAAGTGAGCATTTACGTTCTTGTTGTGAATTGCCGGTATAACTTGATGTAATTGAATGTGTTTGCTTGGCTGGCTAGATTTTGCCCTGAGAGTAGGCTTTTCTAGGCATTTAATGTCAATGGAAGAGTTTTGGTTTTGTCGAGTTTGCAAACGCATATACGGGGTGCTGCTCAGCTTCATCCGTGGTGTTGTGTGAACGCTGCGCTATCGAGTCGTCCGCGGCTTCACGTGGTGCTAGAAGATGCAATGATTCGTTTTTTGGCGCGATCATCGCTCATTCTCCAGCTTCATAGTTCACACTGGACTTGAAAAGCTTTTAGGTTTGAAGAATCTGCGCTCAATGTTGAGCAGCTTCTCCGGTGCCACGGTACCACACTCAACAACAACAACAGCCACAAACCTGCTCGTCAGTCCACATCATCTCCCACAGCCACGGTCCAGCACGTGCCCAACAATGCTGAACGAAATCGTGTAAAACAGGTCGGGTGGTAGCGGTTAGTCAGCTCAGCCCTATGAAAGAGGGTCGCGTGGCGGGCGGGAGTGCTAACTCCGCATCTGATCCCCCTAGCTACTTTCATCTGCCAACTGTCTCAGGCCTCGGACCAGTTCACCCAGCGGTTTGATGTGCTGACCCAAGGACAAACCACCCACCATGTCCGAGGACAGACCGGCGGACGGCAACGAGGGCGACGGCGACGGCACTGCCGCTGTGACGCTGGCGGCCGGCACGCTGGAGGACCTGGTAGGCTGCACGCTGCACGCTGCACCGGCGCTGCGATGCTGGAGAGAGCCATTGCTGACGCTTTGTGCGCAACACAGACGCGCGACATCCTCGAGTCGCTCATACACAACATAATATACCAGACGGCGCTCTCGTGCCACCGCTCCGAGAAACAGCTGCGCATGCAATCCGCCGCCACTTCAGCCGAATCCCTCGCCCTGGCCAACATCGAGCCGCCCTCGCTGAAGAACGCGCAGTCGCAGCCATCCCTGCCGACCGCCGAAACCGATGCTGCGCTCTACGAGAACGGCCGCGTGTTCCTCAAGGGCAATCCGCTCAAGACGACGCCCGAGATCATATGCCCGCACTGCAAGCTGCCGCGGCTCATGCACCCTATCATGGGCAAAGGGATGCAGCAGCCGGACCTTACCCGCGAGTACTGCATGCTGTATCCGTGGGTGCAGCGCTCGGGGCACGATGTGTATGGGAACCCGTTCCCCACGGACATGGCCAAGAGCAAGAAGGAGCGCGAGCTACTCAAACAGCAGCAAAAGCAGCAGGACAAGGAGAGCGTAGGGACGCCCGGGTCGCAAGACACAGACATGAACGCCGGCGACGGGACGCAGGGCAAGGAAATCAAACTCAACACTGGCGGCAAGCCCGCCAGCTACATACCATGGCACACATGTCCCAAGTGCAAGCGCAGTCTACTCATCACACGTTTCGCGCACCACCTCGACAAATGCCTGGGCATCAGCGGCCGCCAGAGCTCGCGCGCCGCCATGGCCAAAATCTCCGGCGTAAACGGCAACGGCAGCGGCGTCGGCAATACCCCGCTGGGCAGCCGCATGGGAACGCCCGCGCCCGGCTCGCAGGGCGACGGCCCGATTCCCAAGTCCAAAGCCAAAGGCATCAGCCCGGTGAAGAACCTGCGCGACAATGCCGACGCCTCGGACGGCGAGAACGACACCCCCGAGCGGAAGAAGAAGAAGACGAAGAGCTCGTACGTCAAGAAAGCGGACCGCGAGAAGCTGTCCAAGGAAGGCGCGCCCAGCGGCAGCGGCAGCGGCGTCAAAATCAAGCTCAAGACAAGCAACCCCACCGAGCGCCGAGACAGCAACATGTCCGAGAAGCGGGAACGCGAGCCCTCCGAGTCGGTCGACGACGGCGCGCCCAAGGCGAAGAAGCTCAAGCTGAGTATGGGGAAAGCGGGGAGTCCGCCGGCGCCGACGCCGCTCGCGCAGGGCTCGCCGTAGCACTGTTCCATCGAGCAGAGCAGGCGGAGGGAGCGAAGAGGGGGGGTTAGGCACGGCACCTATTTCGTTCCATTGCATTCCACGGCGTTATCACGGTATACCACAGGCGGCTCCGGTACCAGTCCGCATCAGCATCATCAGCAGACGACATTAATTATCCACGATCCGATCAGCATGCATGATCAGCATGGGGACAGCGGCGTTTCTGGGCTGGCATTCCGAACATTGTAATTTTTCTAGATGGTGTAGGGCGCGAGTGAGTGGTTATTCCCCTGTTTTAGTTACGTGTTTATCTTATCCTACGAGGGGAAGAGACGGGGGGCAAAGACGAAGTGTACGAAATGAACAGAATCCATCGCATCGCGTGGTCTTGATGATGTTGTTTTGAACGGATTCTCTCACGGGTGGGTTGATCTTCTGCTGGTAAGTAGGATTGCTTGGGTAACTGCACCGTTCTGAACTGCTGTTTCCGGAGTAGCGCACACCGGTAACGTCGGTATTGGGTAGGTAGTGAGTAGACACGTCTCCTCGCTACACTAGTGTATTGCATCGCACGCAAGTTTCCACACGAACCCCACATCGCACTGCTCTTCCCCGCCCGCTCTAACATCCCCCTCCCTCCCTCCCTCCCTCCCTCATTCTCTCATCCCCTGAAAACTCATCGTCGTCCCAAACCTCCTTTATTCTTGTGTCTATAGGTATTTTTCAGGTGCAAAATTTGCCATCCAATCAAACAGGCTCGGTGGTGTAGTTGGTTATCACGTCAGTCTAACATACCCGTTAGACCACTGAAGGTCCCGAGTTCAAACCTCGGCTGAGTCACTCGATTTCGAATGTCTTGAGTTCTGCGTTAGATTCGCAGGTTCTTTTTTGTCTTTTCCCGTCTCTGACCTCTGTCTAGCTATCTCTGTCGGCGTGGGAGGGAGAAAACAGCGATGCGCATGGACAAGCAACCAAACACGGAGCGATTCCCCAGTGGAGTGCAGCAGTTACGAGAGATATTCTCAGGACTTCAAACGGGTTTGGTTTTTGTTGTCTGTTGGTTATATTATGCGTGCACCCCTTTTCTCAACACCACCCTCACACCCTTGCTCTTCAATCTCGGCGAGGGGTTAAAAAAATCATGCACACACTCCACATCCGCGCTCCCCGTCTCGAACAGCTCCATCCGCCTCCCCACACCCCCAGGACTGAACAGCGCCCCCAGCATAACATACAACTCCGCATACGCTAGCCACATGCCCGCACAGGCCCGCGTGCCCTTGCTGAAAGGGACAAGATACGCTCTTCTCCTCTTCAACGCCGCCATGTCATCTTCGGATGAGGTTGAGGGCGCGAGCCAGCGCGAAGGGTCGAACACGTGCGGGGAGGGGAAGACGGTGGGGTCCAAGTGCATGAACATGGGCGTCATGCTGACGGGGACGCCCGGTGGGATCGTGTAGTCGTATGTCCGCCCGTTGTAGACGGCCTCGTATCTTAGCACTGTATCGGGGGATATACGCGCCAGTCTGTGAGACACGCCGAAGGACAGGCGCAGACCTTCTGCCACTACGGCTTGCAGATACGGTGCGTGTTCTAGATCCGCTAGCGGAAGTGAGGTGGTTCCGGGAGGGAGATTGTTGTGTAGAGAGGACAGTTCTGTCTGCAGTTGGTGGCTGATGGCGGTATTGGCGAGGATGTGGTAGAAGAGGGTGGTCAAAGTGTGTGCGGTGGTTAGGGTGCCGGCGCCGAGGAGGGTGAAGGCTTCGTCTTCGAGACGGGGGGTGAGGAGTTCTGCCGCAGGGAGTGCCGAGGTGAGCAGCGTGTGCAAGGCGGTTGGCTGTGAGGCGAGCTCTCGTACGTTCTTTCCATTGTCGGTAGAGGAAGAGTTTAAAGAGCTGCGTGTTTCTTCGATCTTGAGTTTGATATCATTACGTATGTTGAAGAGATGGGTACCGGGTGGATGGAATAAAGACACTATCGATGGTGGAATTATCTTGAGGAGTGGGTAGGTCCAGGGGAACTGTTTCATGATATGGGTGCCACTACTGAGGTCCTGCCATGCTGTTAGATTCCGGTTTAGTCTTGTAAAGGACGATGCACACCATCATGAGTTTCTGCCATGCAGGCTCAAAGTCCTCTCTATCCAGCAAACCATAGTTACTCCCAAACGCAACCAGTCCAATAACGTCGGCAGAGAACGCAGCAAAAAAGTCGCGCAGGTTCAGCACACAGTTTGCGCCTCCTCTTCGTCTCAACAACTCACACCCGTGATCAACCAGCTCTTGGATAGTAGGTGTAAGATTTGCCACAGTCCGTTTCGAGAAGAAGCCATTCAACGCCCCTCTTCTAATCCGATGCAATTCATGTCCTGTCGTCCCAACAGCCGCCGTGGTTGTACCGAACATACGTGCGCTGTACTCCCATTTCTCTGTACTTCTCCCCGGCCCAACATACACCGAGTCATAGGATGCCGGATCTGCGATGTGCAACTCTTCTGGGTTAATTCGTACTACCGGTCCGTAGATCCGGTGAAGCTCTTGAATTTTCCATGAATATCGCCCCTTGCACACGACATCGTAGTAGAACTCATACGCGAAAGTCAATGCCGCCAAACGAGGCCCGGGGTATCGCGCAATGGGGCTGTAGAAAAGTCTATAGACTGCACCGACGATGGCCAAAATGCACGTTGAGACGCAGACGAGAAGAAGAGCGTGCGAGCGCAAGAGAAGGTCCATAGGACGGCGAACAAATCTGGAAGGGGCAAACTTCGAAGAACACTTTCACGATACAGGAACAAATTGACAATAGGGATTCTCGGTGAGGCGAAATCGCGTAAGCGAGGTACCTGTTTGCCAGGGCGCAATCATGTGAAGCGGCATTATCAGGGTGACGTGATAACGGAAGTTGTCCCGCGGCCAAAAATGGAGGCGAAAGTTGAAGCATTCGTGATAGAAGTCAGGAATCCCGTGACTCGGCTGAAAGGACAATTCTCAATATGGGCTGTCAGCTTACAATGGATGGACGCCTGTACCGTCCAGAACTCGAAACGGCGAATACCCTCAAGCAAAGCTGTTGTGGGGTCCCAGACGCGTGACGTCATCGACCGTTTCCGTGGCTTGGAAATGCTCAGTGCTTGTGCGGAGATTGTGCAGCAGGTAAGCGAAGATGGGACAAGCAAATGCGCTCGTTTGGCGGTGTGGACAATGCAGCACGTCCTCGCATGCTGAGTCCACGGTGCCTAGTCGTCGTTGTCTGACATTGCCTCCGAGGTGTAGACTCTCTTGGACTTGCGAAAGGGCCGAAGACGAAGAAAGCTGGACTGTTCAGTCTAGTGAAGCAGGTCTTGAAGCATGGAGACATTTGGCTTGAAAAAGCAAGAGGCTCGTGCATGTGTCTGATGGATACTTGAGCCGGTGCTGAGTGAAGTGTCAAGAGTCAAGAGCCATGCCTCCGTGATTGGCCCCGCAACCCCAATCGCCGATCCTCCGCGTGCTGGGGGTGACCGAATTGCCTTGTTGAGGAAGCCTTTGCAGTCGTGGTGAGTGCTAAAAAATTCCCCGACGAAGAGCTTTTCGGGACCCGATGCCGCCACACATGGCCTGGTGCATTCGCGGCGGATACGGGGGCGAACCTGCTGAGGGCGATGGCGACGATGGCGACGATGGCGACGGCCAGCAACGAACTGTTCAACGGTCTGGCCTGGAACATGGAGACTCTCCCGTATCGAGCCGCACGGTGGGCCGTGAAACCTGAGCCAGACCCGTTCTGTGGGCAGAGCCGATAAGCGTCGCGCTGCACGAGCCACAAATTACATCAATCGCAGCTTCCCGCATGCATCGTGAGAAGGCGCGCTCGGCTCAGAAGCCAACACCAACGCGGCCCGCGTTCACTTCTCTTTTCCTCCTCCATCCGCCAATCTCCCTCTTCTCCTTGTCCTACTTCCGCAGCCTATACCCATCGTTTCGTGCGATTATTCCTTTGCATCTTTTGTTCTAGTCTGGCCGACTGCCTATTCCGCTAGCGACAATTGTCATTCTCTCTGCAGCACCACCAGTCGATCGTTTGACACCCAACCGCACAGACTCCGAGGGCACGTACCGTCGCCATGGTTCTCATTGAGAATCAGGAATACCTCTGCGAGGAGGAGAAGCGTCTCAAGCAGGACCGCGAACGCACCGCCTATTGGAAGAAATGGGGCACTTACCTTGCCGAGAGGCAGTGGGCGACTGGTAAGCTCTTTTGCTCAATTGTCTCAGAATCTCATGCTGATAATTCATAGTTCGCGAAGATTACTCGTGAGTCTCATCAATTCTCCGCTGACCTCTACCTCCACTAACCCCACTACAGCCACGATGGTGATGCATGGAGCCGTGAGTGCAGTTGGTGCCAAGGTGCAACGCTGGCTAACAGTGGTAGATTTCACTCACGACATGGCGCGCTCACGGGCCTTTCGATGGGGCGAGGACGGCATTGCTGGCATATCCGACTCGCATGGTCTACAGAACATTGGCTTTGCCTTTTGGAACGAGAAGGAGTGAGGTCAATCAATCCAGTAGACCGGATTGGCGCTGACAGAAGACAGTGATTTTCTCAAAGAACGATTGTTTGGCTTGTCCAACCCGCAGGGCAACCACGGCGAGTCGCTGAAGGAATGCCACTTTCATCTGGACAACACTCCGACGGTACGTAGGTGTGGACCTAAACGTCTTCAAAGCTAATCCGAGTACAGCATTCTTACACGAAGTATCTCTACAAATACCCTCAGCGCGCGTTCCCGTACGAAGACCTCATCAATGAGAATGCGAAACGTAGCAGGCTTGAGCGCGAATACAACATGATTGATACTGGCATTTTCGATGACAACAAATACTGGGATATCTTCATCGAGACAGCGAAGGAGGCGGACAATCCTGAGGAGATTCTGTGCCGTGTCACAGCATACAATCGTGGACCCGAGCCCGCCCCGTTGCACATTGTGCCGCACGTATGGTTCCGCAACACATGGTCCTGGGGACACGAGGAGCCCGAGAAGCGTCCGTCTATCCGCAAACTCGGCGAGACCACAGCAGTCTCCAAGCACCATAAACTTGGCGAGCGTTATTTCCAACTGTCGCCGTCCCCTGGTATCGGCGCCAGTGGGGATGATGTGCAGCCCAAGCTGCTGTTCACAGAGAACGATACCAACTACAAGGCGCTATGGGGCGGTGAGAACAAGACACCTTACGTGAAGGACGGCATTCACCGCCACATTGTGGATGACGAGAAAGATGCTGTCAATCCCGAGAACTTCGGAACAAAGACCGCTGCGTGGTACGCATTTGACGAGGGCGATGGCGTTGCTCCAGGCGAGTGTGCTGTCGTGCGTTTCCGATTCTCTCAACGATATGATGGCTACATCGACGAGGAGCTTTTTGACGACATTATGGAACAGCGTCGTGCCGAGGCGGACGAGTTTTACTACAGAATCAGCCCCATGCCAATGGCAGATGACCTGCGTAACATCCAGCGTCAGGCTTTGTCCGGCATGCTCTGGTGTAAGCAATACTATCACTTCATTTGGGACCAATGGGCAAATGGCGACCCAGGAATGCCACCACCTCCCCCAGGCCGAAAGGCCATACGAAACAAAGAATGGAAACACATGTATCTGGACGATATATTGTCCATGCCCGACTCGTGGGAGTATCCGTTCTTCGCTGCATGGGACAGCGCTTTCCACTGCCTGCCGCTGGCCATGATCGATCCGGACTTCGCCAAGAAGCAGCTGGATCTTTTCACTCGCGAATGGTACATGCATCCTAATGGGCAGTTACCTGCCTATGAATGGAATTTTGGCGATG